AAACAGTACAAAATTGGATTGAACTACTTAGTGGTAAGACTTGGACATAATGTGTTTGCTTTTTTTCTCCCCAATAAAGCTAATTATCTGGTATCACTAGAGATTATAATGTAAGGTTTTGGGGGAGAAAATATGCAAAAAAGTTAATTAGTCTGTCCTCTAGGGTAGTCTGTTGTTGATTTTAGCCTTTAATCAAATGTAGGTAACTGTTGCTTTTGACTTGACCTGGTGTATACAGAAAGGATCTAGGTGGAAGGGTCAGAGATGTGACAGCTCTGTGGAAGAAGTGCCATCCGCTGACTGAAGTAGATCAGGACTACATCCTGGCGATATTACTGCCTTTCTCTGTGACTGGAAATGACGGTTAATGGAAGTTTGGAGTATAGGTGATGTAATTCAGTGTTCAGATCTCTTGATAAAGAAAGGAGATAAGGAGCTTGCTGCTCATATGTAAAAATTGAGGATGATTCGGTCACTAATCATAACAGAATGATAAACAGTCAGGAGCTCTATTTTTCCATTGACTGGGGAAATGTAATAAATATTTTCAAATATGAAGTAGTTGTTCAAAACGAAGTCCTCAAGATGAGTGCCTTGCACGGAGCTCTTCCTGTAAAGCTAGTAAGTTGTTGCCAAGACAATGAAATGTCAGTTAGATTTCATCTTTACAACTGCAGTTACTTTTTCATACACCTCACCAACAGTTGCATCCTCAAGGTTTATAAAGGAAACTGAAATTAACAATGACCATCTTTAACATGGAATGTGCAGTGCTTTTGTTCTGCTTTGGTGTGTGGTTTTGGTTTTTTTTTCTTTCTTGTAGGCAAAGTTTGTCTCCAGGGTTTGTCTGTTTGTCCAGGGTTTTATGTGTTTTTACAAAACACATAAAATGCAGCTTCCCTGGAGTGGGTCAGAGCTGTACTTAAGTTGCACAAACAGTGCAGGAAAAAACCTCACTGTTTTGTCCACAGCATGACTCTGGAAGGTAGGGGGTAATGAGACTTGAAGTTGTCTATCTAAATCTAGTTGTTACTTGTAATAACTGGTAAGTAAGAGTTTCAAAACCGAATAGAATCTTTCCAGCTTTCTCTGCTGCCTTGTTTTCATTGTGTTCTTCCCGTTTGTATTGTACCACCTTCAGCAGAAGCCTTCCTTGACCATCAGTTCATACCCCTGTCCTTGCCACCCCTCCCCTCTTGCTCCTTGGCTGTCAAGCAGAGATTGGAGAGGGGAGAACAAAGCAGCCCTGGTCAGCAGGGGCATGGCTGCTGCACAGCCTTGCAGTTCAGTGCTTGCTCAGCTCTCCTTCGCTGTTACAGTCTGCAAAAACAATTCATTTTTCTTGTCCCAAATACATAATTTGTGCTGACATTTCACCTCTCCCAGTGCAGAGAACATCAAGGTAGCACTGATTCAAAAAAGGTCAACTGATGAATGGACCGTGTTGTGGGTTTTCTTTGAGCTAAGCTAAGGTTTTCCTGACCCTGCTGGGCTTCGGCTCTGGGACGATAGTTATCGCTAGTTATCATCAGTGCAGTGGCTAAGGCTTGGATCAGTCATTCTTACTTACATGTGGTTATTAATTACTAGTTATTGGATGGCATTAGGGTTCTTTCCATTTCCTGTGATTTAGAGGACCGCCCTGTGAAGAAAAATACTTCGGTGTTTTGGTTTGGGTTTTTTAATACCTCTCTTAGAGTCTGGCTGTCGGGCCCCTTCCCGGCAAATAGCTGCTCTAGCCATAATTATCAGGGATGGGAAGAACACTACTTGCCATTACAGTACATACGAGTTCAGAGCCATCATGGAAATATTTAGATGTACGTGTAAGGCGATGTCTGCCAGGCTGATGTGGTTTATGACAGCCTCTAAGGGAACCAAGTGCAGGGAATAGAGAAGTTGGGATCAAAATGTTAGCATCTTCCTGAAGACGGAACAAACGTGTTTGAACAAGCATATGTCTGTGTAATTGAGGAGATTGGTCACAAGGTGTCAGCACAGTACTGATTTTTATTATGGCATAGCCACATCCAACTAGCAAATGTAGAAAAATGTAGGACATAGCCTTTGCCCTGTAAAATGCTGTAAGGAAACTACTTCTTTGTGTGAGTGTCATAGTTCCATTCACGGTCAAGCTGGGGAATCACATTCAGTGAGGTGCGGGGCTTGCGTCATTCAGGCCGGGGTGGGTTCTCTGCCTTCACCAGGCCGTTGTGTCACCTCATCTGTCTGCTGAACTTGGCTGTTATTTGGATACCGTGTATGTCACCCTCCATCACAGTGGGTGAGAGAGTCATCTGTGGGGTTTTTTTTGTCTTGTATGTTAAGCAATGAATTTTTAAAAAGCTTTGTGATGGGGAAACAAGTTGATACAGAAATTTTTATCATTTATAAAAATCCCCTGTCTAAGTTAGAAATCCTTAATGCTGTTTCTTGTCTCCTAAATTGCACAGACTCCCTTGTATCAGGAAGGGATTTTAATACGTATGATAAATACTTAGGTAGGCTAGACCCAAAATCTTTAGCTTGTTAAGTAAACTCTTAGGCAAAATAGATTTCTCCATGCTTAACAATTTAAGCTTTATCGGTAGTTGTTGATGCCAATTTTGTGCATTTCTAAATTCCCTCCACACACAGTCATGTGCTCTGAAGGGACAGATTCTCCTGCCTCAACAAGAAGCATTAAAAATAATTATGGAAGCACTGAAGCCCCTGCCAACTTGTGCTCCTGTGTATGCACCCACGCACACACAGTGTGCACACACACTGTGCATGGTTGATGTTTCACCCGGTGGAGGCAGGAAGGGAGAGAAGAATTAAAACCTGAGGAGATAGAGAATGCTCAGGGCAGGTGTGCATTAGCTTGCCCCTGTGCCAGAGAGACAGGCAGTGACACTTCTTTCGGTCTCTGAAGCGGTGAAAGGCTGGCAGCAGACAAATGGGCAAGGTTGGAGGAGATGCTTCTTTTTAATTATTATTGTTAAAGGCAAACTCTTTCTTCATTACTGGTTTTTGTTTGGTTTTGTTGTTTTTTTTTTCTTATTCCTTCAGTGCAGGACTACTTACTTGGCATATCTTACCTCAAGACATTGCTTAGCTAACACTTTGCCCAAACTTTAAACTTACACTGAAGCCCCTCCAAGGAGAATCGCGTGGTCTCTGACTCTGTCTGTATGTGGGTGAGTCAGAGATCAGAGAAATGTTGACGTTAGCATGGTATCTCAGTGTAACAGTCAGCTCTATGAATTTGACAGCTCGTTCTGTAGCACAGGGGCAGTACAGCTTAAGCTTTGCCTGATTATTGGGGTTTTTTTGCTTACTTTTTTAGGTGAAACATGGAACCCACTGAAGTTGCACTACCAACTACGAAATGTCCGTGAACGGTTAGCTAAAAATCTAGTGGAAAAAGGTGTACTGACAACAGAGAAACAGAACTTCCTTCTTTTTGACATGACTACGCATCCTCTCACCAACAACAATATCAAACAGCGCCTCATCAAGAAGGTGCAAGAAGCAGTTCTTGACAAATGGGTGAATGACCCTCACCGCATGGACAAGCGCTTGCTAGCACTTGTTTATTTAGCCCATGCTTCAGATGTTCTGGAGAACGCTTTTGCCCCCCTTTTGGATGAGCAGTATGATTTAGCCACAAAGAGAGTGCGGCAGCTCCTGGATTTAGACCCTGAGGTTGAATGTATGAAAGCCAACACGAATGAGGTTCTGTGGGCTGTGGTAGCAGCTTTCACAAAATAACTGCATTCAGACTGAAGTGTTCTCTTCTTTCATGTAAACCCGTTGTTTCTCTTCTATTGACTATTCATGTTTTCTGTAATTTGTACCTTCTCACATGATGAATTGACTCTTGTTTAATGGGGATTATAAATGGTGTATTCCTTCCTTCTCTGTGTATCTGTATACAGGACCCTGCTGGTACAAGAGACCTTCCTGTTTAAAACAACAGAAAAAGGTTTTACTGCCATATTGGCATTCCATTTCCTATTCAGTTTGAGCTATCTGAAATACTGCGTTTAATCTATTTTTCACCTTATTGTTGTTGAAGTGGTTTAACGTGGAAAGCACCGCAAGGAGGAGATGTGCATGCAGTTGGATCACTAGTCTCAGCTGACACAGATGTGTGCATGCATCAATACTTCTGCAGAACAATTCATAACAGATTAAAAAGGGCCTTCTTAAATCACCAAAGCTCCGTGTTGAAGTGTCTGTCAGGACATTTTATATACTGATGTTGTTTCAGTTATATCTAACAAAATTACTTTAAAAGCAGAAATGCCATTAAGCAGCTTTGTCAATAGTTCCTGTAAAATGCCCATAAATTTTGTTTTTCATGCAAGTCTCTTTTGTACTTACATTTTCATTAGAACAATAGCTGAGTCGTAAGGCTAGTATAGAAAGGTCCAGTTGTTTCATGAAGCGGTTTGGGGATGGGATACATTCCATTATATTGTATATATAGTTAAAATTGTATATTAACAACTGCCCCATCTTAGTATTTTGCGAGACCTACTTAACTGTACACCTGGTGCCCCTTCTTCGCTGTCAGCCATTGCCATGTGGTGGAAAGAAAGGCGTCCCATAAAGAGCATGTATGGGAAACTGTTTCCAGTATCTACGGAGTTTGCCATCCCGCTACTCTCCGTCTATGCATTGCCTTCGATACTGCACAGAAAGAGACACTTTCTGTCACTGTTGGTACGTCTTTTTTTTCCCCTCCCCTCCTGTACGGAAGATGCTCGTGACCCGTACAATTTGAGTGTCATTTTCAATTTTGTACGCGAAGTAATGTTTGTCTCTTAAACCTCGGTCTATTTTACACTTTTAAAAACAAAAAGTCGGCCCTAGCGGGCGTTGCATGCAAGTGGTTAGCAACTAATGACTGCAGTTCAGATGATTAGGATTTCTGTATTGGACGCTCTGCTATATTTTAATTTTTCATCTACAGTTACGCTGATTAGCACAGTATTTAAAAAGAAATTATAAACCGTTGGCTTTTTTAAATTTACTGGCTCTTTTCCGCGCTTGTTCTCTTCCATTGGTTTCACAGTGTAAATATGCATTGAAAAAAGTTAAGCATTGATTTGTATCTCTTTTCCTCATAACAGTGCAGACTTATAGTGGGGCTTACAGGTGTTTAGGAACCTTTTAGGTTAATATTCAGAGCAAGAATACTAGATGGTGTATAACTGTAGAGTTGAAATTTAAGGAATCCCTTAATCTGTACACTAGCTTTTTACCTACAGTAAATAAACTGATCTTGAAAGTGCCTGAAACAGAGCAAGCATGTCTTTTTTTTTTTTGTTGCTAATTAGAAAGGTTCTGTTGCTTAAGTGAAAGCTTTAGTTAATATCCTTCTTATTAGAAAGGGAGAGTTTATATAAAGTAGATGAAACTGACCCGATCAGTGGCGTCACTCAGATCTGCAGGATGCGTGGCTGGGGCAGACCAGGTCAGAGTGTGCAGCTGTGCCTGCCGTGGGTAGACCTCTTCTATCTCGAGCACAACTCTGCAGCCTCGTCCGTGACTGGACTTCAGTTTTGCACTTCGTTTTCCAGTCATTTAGACGCTTAAGTAGTTGACTTTAAAATCCAACTTAAATTCATCACACCTATATAACCTTTTTTAATAAAAGTTTGTAAAATACAGTCCTTAACATTTAATGGCACATTGTCCTTTCAGTCCTGAAATGATGTTTCTTTAGCAGAATGAAACGAAAAGTATATTGTAAGATATTTCAAACTCTGGTTTACAAATAAAATACAGTGTTCTCTCAGTTGTAAGATGCTGTGTTTAAACTTTAAGGAGCTTGGGCATGAACTTCGGACATGTTCTTCTAAACATTTCAAAACATGATTGCTCTAAGTGGAGGGAAAATGGAAGTTGTGGTGTTGCTCTTGCACTTTACAGCTTACATGTAGTATACTGCCTGTACTCGGTCGTGTATGTGAGCTGACTCCTTTCTTTGTCTCTCACTCCTGTGGTCCGTTTTCTTGTTTTCTGTTGCTCTTTGAGAGAAGACCAATTAGGTGGAAATGTCAGAAAAATTGAGTATTCAGTAACAAGTTGAGTGCGCAAAACTTTTAAAATGGCTTTGAAAATCGGCGCTACTTGAAACGTGCTTCAGGCTGAACGTGTCTTTTGTAGTCCCTTGTCTGTCCTCATCCCTGTTCTGTGAGTACGTCTCATGTTCCTGCTGGTTTCGTGTGAGGTTATGGAGGATACTGGGGTTTTGTCACCCTCGCAGCCTGCTTGATTTAAAGGAAGTCACCCTTTAATCCCTCCAGAAAGAGGATATTTTTATATTTTTCCACACAGAAGATGACTGCCTACAGTATTTGTCAACTTTATTGTGCTTAAAGATGGGGAGAGTTTGTACCGGCTTTGTCAGAGAACCTGGATGCGCGG